CATCAATACTTTATTGCTTACGAATCTCCAAGTTCGCATTTTCCTGACAATATGCCACATATTCGCGGTAGATGATCATCATTGTGACAATCATTGTCATGAAACTACTAGTGATTATTGCTGAATGTGAATATGGTGAATATGTGTTATCCACTAATTGAAAGATGTAGACATGTGCAACATCCTGGACTCTAATCTACATGCAACATCGCTGATGTATAGCGACACTGAAATTGTACGATCATCAGAATTACATCCGTCTTCTTCCTCCTAAATTTCGTTTCGTAAAATGTAACCAAATGTGATATTCGACCTCGGTATAACTCCGAATAAAGTGCTATAGTCTTCAATAATTTGTAAAAAAATAAATAACATACAGTAATTTGTTGGCATGATTAGATTGAGGATTTTGAATAGATACTAGACACCGGTGCATGTTTACACAACATATGCGTCAAAAGTAAGTGCACCTGGAGGAAGAAGTCACGGAAAATGTTTAGTCAAACTCTTTGTAAATAAAATTTGTGAAGTTATATAAATGTATCCTTACTAAAATAACCCATTTAGTAATCATCCAGAAATATTATTCCCGATGATGTTAAATATTTTCCAAAGGGGGTTCAAATTCATCCATCCTATGATCCTGTTAATTTTATATGTCAGAATAAGCGCTCAGTCGCTCAGAACATAGATGAGAGCTTGCAGGCAAGGTAATATACGCCCACGGACAGTTTTGTTTTGGAATTTAAATATTTGGCAGTACAGTAACAATCAGCAGTATGAAATATTCAACCTTCAGTCATACAATTCTTGTGAACTTTTGAAGAATCGTGCCTTCTAGAGTGTTTACGAGCTAACAATTGAAAGCATTTTCAAGAACAAGGGCAATTACTCATACTCAATATTTTTCGATTTTTCTGATTTTCAATAGGATTAATCCTATAAAACGATAAAAAACACTCACACCAAGTTTCGTCAAAATCTGTCAAGAATTGTTCCTTCTAGGATGTTTACAGGTTAAAAATTATACGCGTTTTCAAGAACAAGGGCAATAACTCATACTAAATATTTTTCATTTTTAATAAGGTTCGTCCTTGTATGGAAGCCGACTGTGGCCATATCTACACTCGACTTCACGCCCACGAGAAAGCAAGGAAACTAGATTTCTCGCCCACGAGAAAGCGAGAAAAAAGGCGAGAAAAGAGGCGAAAAGGCGAGGGTAAAACAAGACATGGAAAAAGGCGAGAAAGCGACGAAAAATGTCCTCGTCTTCTCGCCTTTTTCCTCGCCTTTTTTTACCCTCGCTTTCTCGACTCTTTCCTCGCTTTGACGTCTCTCGATTTCTCGTTGGCGCAGCCTGTAAAGAATTCA